CATTACAGGGGTACCTGAGGTTATCCCCCCCCCCCCAAAAAAAAAACAACAAATATAACCCATTTAACTCCAATTAACACAGGTCACCTTAACAAGTACATAAAATAATCAATAAAACGTCCATGAAGTCCTACATTTAAAATGAAGAAATTAGTTTATTACAGCATAATTATATACCCTACCATTGTATCTATTATTTTTTCATTACAGGGGTACCTGAGGTCACCCCCAAAAAAACCAACGAATATAACCCATTTAACTCAAATTAACTCATGTAACCTTAACAAATACATTACATAAACAATACAAAAGTCCATGAAGTCCTACATTTAGAATGAAGAAATTAGTTTATTACAACATAATTATATACCACAGCATAGTATGTTCTATTCTTTAATTACGGGGGTTACATGAGGTCACCCAAAAAACCCACAAAATGCAACCAATTCATATCAAATAAACTCAGTTCACCTCAACAAATACATAACATAAACAATACAGCGTCCAAGAAGTCCTACATTTAAAATGAAGAAATTACAATAAAATAAAATTCCGCGAAATTTCGTGCATGAGCTTGGCGCATTATCGTCAGGTTATGTGATCATATATGTCTCTGGTCATACGAATGAAAACTCTCAAGACGAAAATTATTCTGTTTCTTGTACGCTTCAAATTTAAATAAAATCTCATTTAACTGAAGTTTTTGAGGTATGTGTTTTTTCATTTTAGATACTATTGCATTAATCGAACATTAAAGGATTTCCGAAAGTCAGTATGGCTGCTTACTCCATAGTTACGAAATATCAATTGTGCATTTGATGGTAAATTTTTGGAAAATAGTCAATGTACCAAACATTATTAATTAAAATTTGCAAATGTTTGGGTAAAGAATTATAAGGATTAAATACATTTTTTTCTATAGGTTATTGATGTGTAAACTTGGTAGCTGACTCACAAACTTTACATAACAGTTGTTTGTGAGTTAATTGCCCCAGTTTAAACATCAATAACTCCAGTAAAAATGTGTTTATTCCTATATTATTCAATATCATGGCATGGGAACAAAAGTATTCAAATCGAACGTTAAAGTTCATTTATCTTCAATTCAATATAGCATGTAGTATCAAACGTCTTATGTAATTATATCAAACGTCTTACAAAATAATATCAAACTAAAGAAAAAATAGCAGATATTTAAAGAAAGAACCTCGCCGGTAATTACATTTGTGTAAATTATAAATAACTTCGCATGTACATGTACATGTGTTCTGTTCAAAGTACGCTCACAAAGAAGTCATTGATGATTATAAAACTTTACCTACGATGTGTTTGAGGGGATGCATACCAACATTTTTGTTATATCGCAACCTAAAAAAAAACAACAAAAAAACAAAACAAAAAAATCCGAAAGAAATTCGGAGGTACAAATACAGTCTTTACCAATAGTCAGATGTATATACGCTACATCATGCCCTGTCTTTATCGTCCCGAATTGACACGGAAAGCTATCAATTATCTATAATCAAAACCAGATAAAAAAGAAACATATAGCAAGAGTTCTAATCCTGCTAACACGAAACCATGCCGTCCTATACTCTTATATGTGTGACTGTACTTAAGAGAATATTCCATAAGATGGCGGTTTTCTCCATTTCATTAGAATTTAAGATCTTCATTTATGACACTTATTTAAAACCAATTGAGACCTTAAATGTTCAACTCATACAAATGCTGATTTTTCATTGGTTGAAGACTAATCATTCGGTTCCTTCAAATTCTTTCAAATCGCATGAAAATAAAGAAAAAACATGCTGTTTAATGCTGCCTAGTATCGTAATGCAACTTAAGCTTATAGAATCATCAGTTCCGTCAACCTTACTTGTAAACACTATCTATTCGCTCTGTTTGTGTACTTCGTGCAGGGTAACCATTAATCCATATTTGCATGAAGTTAAAGGTCTCACTGTTATTCTAGGTAAAGGAATATCCAAAGTGTTTTTGAGCAAATAGGAGTACAGATTGTTGTCATATTTCTAATGTAAACTTTAATTTGGTACCGTTGATGTTATCCAATTGAAAGTAAACACTGCATTGTCATGCAACATATAAAGAAGATATTTTGAATTTGAGTTAAATCCCTTTGCTTATAATTGAAACTGAACCTATTTTTACAACAAATAGATTCATACACCAGGATATTAATAACTCTATTATCATTTTCGTAAATAATGTTCATGAGTTGTACAGTTACAACCGGTTTATAACTTAATCAAAGCATCGTTGATGTTGTGATCCAGCCATATTCATAGCTAGTCTCATATTCTTTCAATATTGATTTTTTATCTAAATTGGTGTTCATTCTTCATTAAGAAAAAATACATTTCCTGTATTCAAATCTGAATGTACAAATACCTAATGCTGAGATATTTCCAATTACTGTTATCTAGCAATATAATGGGATTTAAATGTAAAACAAACAAATAAATTTTATTGCAGAAAATGCTCCGGTAAGAGTTATGCAATTTTGTTTTATATTTCAACCAAATTTCTGACAATTGTACCTAATTAATTAGAACTTGGTTATTGACTTATGTCAGATGATAATGGCACTGATTTTACAAGTAAAATAAAATTTGCTTGCATTTTTTATACATATTTTTTTTCATTTTAAGTATTTTCTTTGAGAAAAAAAACCACATCAGATTAATCATTCAGTTAGCTAGCAAATTTAACAGAATATTTTAATGTAGTGTAGATCAGAATAAATAATACATTTGTAGGTTTACTATTGAGGTCAAGAATGTGTGTATTCAGTTAGGTGTGTAATAAATTGTGTCAATTTAATTATGTAACAGGTCATGAGATATTAACTGTTTTGAATTAAGCCTGGAGTTTTTTCTAATTAATACGTATTTGAAAATCATGACAGTTAATAATCATTCTGACTCTTACTTGCCTATGGAAAGAATTGGAGTAATACCATTTCAAAAAAAGTGTGGTAATCAACTTAGGTATATTAATACAAATGTTGACCTACATTTCATTGAACAATAACTTACACAAGCATAAGATACTAATATAATACTTTCAAAATTCTTATCAACTGATTCAATTGATGTACAAATACTTTTTTTTAAATTAATTCATAAATTCATCAATAGTAAATCATCATAAATTTTGATTTAGAAAGGAACTATATGCAAGTGTATATCTAAAATAAAGTCACTATTCGACCAATCTTTTCTGAATTTAAGGGCAAATAACATGTCAAAAGTTTGCAGTTGATGATTAAAATGGTGTAGAAAGTTTCTGCAAGTCATAAAAACACATAATTAGTTTCATGATATGTCTTCAACTTAGTATACTGCATCATCTCCAAAACCAGAGTGATCGCATAGATCCAGCATGGCTGAATCAAAAATCTGAGTGATTATCATTAATAAATTACTTGACATGTATATGGATAGGATATAAAAATGTTCTTCACACTGCCACTGCACTAAGTTGTTTGTGCTCTCATAAGCAAAGATTAAACATGAACATTATAGCTATCAAACAATTGGGAAAAGGGTTTCGATTGCATGAAATACAATCATTACACTAAGAAACAGATCCTTTGACTTTGACTTTGATTTTAGTTTTTTTTTAATCTAAATATAATGATTGTGCCTCAGTTTTACCTGGGATTATACCAACTAAGGTCAATATATTTATATGCCCGATTTATTTAACTTTTCTAAAGGCCTTTAGTTTGTAGTGTTGGCCTATACTTGTGATTGTAGTTCATAAGATGACAATTTTTAATGTCTTTTTAAAAACTTCGCTTAACTACTTTTGTACAATTATAATTATAAGGAATCCTGATGATAACTTTAACAAGTCTGTTGTTTAGTTCAGTAAAATATTAGACATCTTGTGTTAATCTTATCATGTTGGTTTATGCTGTTTGTTGTAGTGTAAACTTCAAAATTTCAGATGGTATACCAGGAATTTCTAACAAACATGGATCAAAGGCTCAAATGCACATAATGCTTCTAAAACATGGAAGATACGTCTATACTGTACATTAAATTATATAGAAATTTCGAATTCTAGAGCACCTGAGATCACCCCCAGTAGTTGGTGGGGTTCGTGTTGCTCAGTCTTTAATTTTCTATGTTGTGTTTTGTGTACTATTGTTTGTCTGTTTCTTTTTTAGCCATTGCATTTTCAGTGTATTTTCGACTTATGAGTTTTAATGTCCCTCTGGTATCTTTCACCTCTCTTCTTCAAATGGAAAAAAGTTCTGAAGTCATCTTGAAAAATGGAAATCATTCCTCAAATAATTCCATAACACTAGGTTAACAATTACGATATGTTTTTCATTCTTTCTGTGAATTTTCACGGGTATTAATTGAAAAATATAGGAGTTTTTTGCACAAATTGGTGCTGTCTTTTGAAAATATCGCTGGCAAATTACTAAGTTCCCATGTCTGGAAAATGGGAAAAATTCCATAAACAATTCCATGACAGCATGTGCAACTCTAAAATATGTAAAGTAAATTTTTGAAGCTACCATTATCTAGGTTGAAAACTGTAAGAGATTTAAACAAAATAGTTACAATCTTTGTAAATTTTTGATGAAAATGACTATGAAATTTCCAAATTTGGAAAAAAAATCTTTAAACAATTCTATAATAATGATCCTCTATATTATATTCTAATTTCAGAAAACAATTAACAAAACTGGCTATATGGTTAAGTCCACCATTTTCTTTAAAAAATGCCTAACCAGGCAAGGAATATGAGTTTTTGTTCGATATAATCGAGTGTTTGATTTTGTCAGGTTTTAAGACTTCCCCCTTTTTGAAATTTACCTTGGAGTATTTTTGTTGATACTTTTTTGTACTGCTGAAAAATAATTCATTTATAGAAATGTAAATTGAAAATTTCAAAATCTTCAACTGGTGAATGCCCTTGGTCAGAACTGAAAGAACAATTATTCAATAATGACAACAAAATTAGTTTGATTTATTTTTAATTCCAGGTACCTGTAGCTACATGTACATTATGTATGATGAAAAATCAGGTAAATGTAGTATGTGTACAAATGATCAGAAGATGAAACATGAATTTGCATAGATCAGTGGACACATGTTGTATTTCTAGAGATAGACCAATGGACATATGTTTATACATGCATTTTGAAAAATATAAAGGTACCACACTTTTAATCAAATAATTTTAAACTAACCTAATAAATTTTAAATATTTTTAGTCAATAGTTTTAAATATGATACAAAATTATTCGTGTCTATTAGTTCAATCTGCTATATCATGTTTCTCTAATTCTTCGTCAATTTATCCCTTTCTGCACCCATTGTATAAAAACAATTTAATCAACGTGTGGTTCGTTTGATCTCAGTTCTTCATTGGTTAAAATCCGATTATGACGGCGAATTTTTTTGCTTTCCTCTGAATTTCCTATTGTGACGGCATGAAAAAAGGCGACCATGCCTGATGACGTCACATAGAAAGAACACATCTTTTTGCAGATCATTCGAAAAGACGGAATAAATTTGCCTGCGTATTGTTTGAAAATCATTAGAGAAACAGTTTCTACCACCAAATCTCGTGTAATACGATATTTATCCACTCTCGACAGTTAAATTTTAAATATTTAAAACGCTCGGCGAGCCTCGCGTTTTAAATTTGATAATTTAACTGTCTCGAGTGGATAAATATCGTATCACACTCGATGCAGTGGTAGAATCTATATATATCCAACATATTAATTTTGTTGTGATATGAGAAACACTCAGACCAAATTAGAAAAATGTGCCACCTTACTTGTTTAAACTTATGCTGCAAAAGCACTGCAGCATTAAAATAATGAAAACCAAAGATTTTTTATGACCTCAATTTACTTGAATTTGCCCAAGTGTGTTATTTATTTTATCACAAATGCTGGGAAAAATTCCTTGACAAGTCAGTTTGAAACATGCGCAAACCTTGGCAACTTTTTGTGAAAGAAAAATAAGTCTTCCAATCATCTGATAATTGTGGCTATAATATCAATAACATTTATATAAAATTTTCCTTGTTATTTTATCTATACATAAAAATAAAACTGATCCAATTATATTACTAAATACTTACATTTTAAATAATTACATCCAGAAGTCAATTATAAAGGAAAAGTGTGCAAGCTTTGCTACACGCGGAAAACTCACACTGCCCCCTTGTCTAAGCAGACTCAAGACCATCATCTGGCGATGTACAAGGGATCTGTAATTAACTTATGGATTCAAAGGTAGAACTTTTATCTTTTCAAAAAATGAATAAATTTGAGTTTCTTAAATTAGTGTTATCCAAGATGACAAGCAGAATTACATCAAATTGATTTTATACAATTATTCTTTTAGCAGCCATCATGCTATTTAGATCATGGGATGAAGTTTCACAATACTGAACAGGGGCAGATCCCTTAGGGCAGGTGCACCATCAGAATCAAACCCTGCTGAATGCATTTGAAAAGTTTTGGTCATAGTTTCTAGTTATACAAAGAATCCACATAAATGTTACCTACAAGAGTTAGAAGAATCAGGTTTTTATAACCTCTTTTACTATATATAAGTCTGCATACTTCTCCTAGTAATTGACTTCTGCTACAACCTAACAAGTAAAGCATTATTCGTCTTATTTTTCATTATAATTTAAAGTTTAGCACTGAGATTCAAATACGTAAAACCAACTAATCCTTAGATTTTCGTAATTTTAAATTTGCAATTTATTTATATCAATGGTCAAATGATATCTATTTCCGAAAAAACAAAACCTAAACAAGTTCATGCCTAAATGGTACATGTAAACAAATGAACAAAGAAATCATTGTATTAGTGAAGATAAATTACAAGATTTTATACATATTGTGACACCGAAATACAATTAAACTATAATTGCTTTTCTACTTTTGCTCCTTTGATTTGGTTGTTTCTTCAAAGGAGCTTTTCAATAAAGCAAACATGACCATGGAGTCCACATGAGGGAAATGGCTCATTTAGCTTTCTAGTCAATGTAGCTTTATATAATAGTTTAGTCAATATTAATTCAGTAGTTTCATAATTGATAAAATAAATATGATCGTTAAACACATGAAAAGATTTATATGACTGCAATGCAAGACATGGAAAATTGACATAAACCTATGAGAGTAATTGACAATTCTATTATTCTGTAGATGTAGAATTCAATAACCCATGTTGGGTAATATTGACAATAACAAAAGAAAACACTAAAACTATTTCTGCTCTCTATTCAAAAATGAGTCACATAAAATTAAAAAATTAATATAACAGACATAACAGTTCATAACTAGTTACCATAAACAATAAATTACTTGATACACAATTTCATTTGATGCACCAATTAACCAGATTGTTTTCCGTACAAGAAAAATATCTTTCCCATTTTTTTTATATATACAGTTTTTGACTGTGCCATATAAGAGAATTGTGGGTAATTTCATTGTTTGTACAGGAAAATAAAAATGACTTATTGTCATTGGTTGGTTATCCATTGTTTATAACTCATGTTACCAATCACACCATTCGGTGTATTCTTTTCAAAATATTACCAAGAGGGCTTCAGAGTGTGAAATGGCAAATTCTAATATCATGCAAATACAGTTATTGACTGTGGTATAAGTTCAATAAATTTCTTTCCCTATCCTACATAGTCAAACAAGCAAGTGAAAAAGTAAAAAAAAATTGCCTTATAATAAAAGATGCGTAAAAGGTGTGTAAATATAAAAATTCATTCACAAAATTCCATCCCATAAACATGTAATACGTAGTCTGACGAAACCATATGATTGTCCCAGATCACAGAAAGCTTGCCCTCCAACCTATTTATATAAATATTCTTAAGTAGCTGCCCACACTAAATGATTGTTTACATTAGCTTCTTTCTCCTTGTTTGACTACAGGTTTCTCATCACTAGGCCCTTGTTCTAAATACAGTGGAGAGACAAAACTCTTTCCTTTCACCAGATCGTCTAAACCCTGTCAAAAAAACAATATTTTGTGCTATTAATAAAAATTTCTGTAACTTCAGCACAGTTTGTGATCGATATAACTCATGCCTTATTGGAGGGTCTGTATTGGGGGTCCTTTATTTCTGCATTCTTTAATTTTTTAAGCCATTTTTCTCTATTCTTTATTTTTTTGGTTCATTATTCTCTATTCTTTATATTTCAGCACCCCATTATTCTCTATTCTTTATATTTTTTGCCCTTTATTCTGCACTTTTTTTGTCTATTATTCTCTATTCTGTAGACCCTATCCAGACCCTGTTATTGGAGATTTAACGATCAACACTTACAAATAACAGAGTATACTATTAGAACATAAGCAGATCTATCTCATGGTCCAATGAAATAAAGTCATTATTTACAGTTGCATTAATGGAAAAATATAATATCTTTTTTAAATATAAATGAATATGTTGGTCATGGTGAATGAGACAACAGTCTTTGATGCAAAAATTAGCTTTATCACAAAGCTTTTTGTAACTTGAATTTCTATTGCTTGCTCAAAGTGCATTTCAGAAGATAAATTAGCTAACTATAAACTAAATTTTTGTGATAACACCTTTAAATAGACTGATCAATGTACTGTAACAGTAAAAAATAGTTTACCTTTTGTCTGAACAGGTAAATTTCAGCTATCAGACAATTAATTAACCTTGATTTTTCTGAATTATGTTAAAATGGCAAACCCACATGATATGTTTGGTTCAGGCTCGGCACAAGAAGTCAAACATATAATTTATCGGCTCTGGGATTATACAACCATTTTGGAAGCCCTGTGCATACCCAACATCTCTTGTTATTCATAATCTGTTATACAACTAAGAATGCAGTTCAATAAGGTATAAAAAAAAATGTCATTGCAGGGCAGATGTTTATTAGCTATGTTAATAAACTTTTGATAGTACAGTCATTTTAACCTGGTTGTAACAGTACATACCTCACCAGCATAAGACACTAATGGAGAGATTTCACAGACTATTCCATTTTCATCATCAGCATCTTTTTGACTAAAAAAATACAACAACAATAATTATACACTAATCTATGCAGAAAAATTAGAGGGATTCACAGATGTTTTCATTCATTTACTTTTGGACTGAGGAAAACATATTATCATTGAAAACTTGCTATCGTGGTTTTGATAGCAGAAAAAAGTTTCAGATAATTTGTATTTTATTGAATACTTAAATTCATGATTCATCTTTACCCATTAAATCCTCTAAAATAAGTTTTACAAATAAGAACAAATCCACAGAAAACACATAGATGAAATAAACCTTAATACCCCCTACATGGACATTAGCCTTAAAAATATTTCAAAAGCAGTTCAAGATAACTTTTTGAAAATATCAAGATCAAACAGTTTAATTGATTACAAAATATTTTGTGGTTACAAAAAATGGTAAATCTTCTTTCAATCTAAAAAAAATGCAGTGTCTAAAAAGCCATAATAAACAACCATATGATACTAGCATAACACTTAAATTCTAAAATAGAGTTATCCCACTTTTGCCTCCAAGAAATAACTATAAAGGCTTCTATATGTTCAATATATGTAACACTAATTAACATTTCTTACAGTAGCATAATTCAAATAGAGTTTTATCAAAAATGGCAGAACTTACATTTTAACGAAAAATTAACGTTTTTGACACAGATCTATTCTAATAATATTCATACATGAGCATAAAAAAAATATATGACCCTGGTCATTGACCTATATATACTTACTTGTCTCCACTGCCATTTTCTTTTTTAGCGCTGAAGATAAAGCAGACAACATTGATGTGTTAGAACATGCAAATACAGATTATAATAAACAAAGGGCAGATAACTTGTGTGCAAAAACAATGAAATTACAGCATGCCATATTAGACAACAAAATCAACATGGTCATATATGAGGAATATTTAAGCATATACATTACAGTTATAGCTTTGTAGGGGTATAGAAAATAAAAAAAACATTTCACAATAACCATTATGCAAGGTTACCTTAATTTGCAGGAAATGAAAATCTGTTTGCATAATTATACAAGCACTTAATGGGTGAAGTTCCACGTTACCTATTCAATTGCTGCGGTCAATGTCAAAGTGTAATGTTGACTGAATCTAAATGTTAAGTGCAAAAAAAAAAACAAGTCTTTTTATTTGTCATAAAATACAGAAAAATAAAAAGATAAAAAAATTTTGCTCTTGATAATATCTATTGATTATGAAAAAGCTGCTGTCCCAAGTTTCATAAATTCCATGAGAGTAAGACTGTGTGATTGATGTTTAAAAAATACTGAAAATCACAGACTGAACTTAAACTTTGGTGACAGCATGTAGGAATGATAAGTCTGACTTCCAGAACTATCATCCCAAGCTTAACAAAGAACAAAGCCATTATCATTTGTATTGTTATTTTTTTTTAGTAATTGTACATTTTTATTTCAAATATGCCAAATTCAGACTAAAATATCCCAAAAAGCTTCAAATACAATTTCAAATTTCAAATAAAAAAAAATCAATGTTGGAGGTCAACTGCAATGTATAAGCTTAAGAAAGGATCAAGCGGAACAACATTCAACTTTATGCATTATATTAAAGAAAAGATTTCATGCATTTTGGGAGATAAAGAGGGAATTATCGATCAATTATAGATTTTAAACATTGCAATCATGAATTTTTCAAGTTCTGTCACATAAAAAAAAGTGCATGCGAGATGAAAAAAATCTTTATGTAAATAACTCATACACAGTACATCAATCTTGATAATTTCACAATATATATTAATCTAAATTTATGTTTAATGGATTGAAGAAACAGACTCAAAGTAGCTTGTTTTATCTCACATGTATATGACAAGAGAGGCCATCAAGTTTGAAATTGTAAGTATGACCTGACTTATACCATAAAAAGATGCACCACAAGTGATGCTAGAAGCTAATATTTAAAAACATACAGCCAAACAACATACAGTGCTGGGTTATAAAATAACAATGTTACAGCATAGGGAAACACATGCAAATTAATCATTGTATATGATATTTGTAAATTTTTATTTTGGGTATGCATGCTTCTTATTTTAGAGATATGGGTTATCTATATAGAATAATGGTATTTGTGTTTTTGATACTGACCAGTAGGGCGAGCTCATTAACGAGCTGATGAAGTCAGTATCAAACAAGAATGTGTCCATAGTACACAGATGCCCCATTCGAACTATCATTTTCTATGTTCAGTGGACCGTGAAATTGGGGTCAATACTCTAATTTGGCATTAAGATTAGAAAGATCATATCATAGGGAACATGTGTACTAAGTTTCAAGTTGATTGGACTTCAACTTCATCAAAAACTACCTTGACCAAAAACTTTAACCTGAAGCGGGACAGACGGACGGATGGACGAACGAACGGACGCACAGACCGAAAAACATATCGTAGGTGGGGCATAAAAATAAAATGCCTTTATTCTTTTTATCAGCAATTTGTCTTAACTGTATGTTTTTTTTTGGTTGAGACTATGAAGTAAAATAAAATAGTTAGTAAAACTACTTTTAAGCGTACAAAATGTTGGGATAGTTATTCGGTTGTATGAATGAAGTCGTGTGCATTTCATTGATAAATTGACGCAGATGGACTTGAGCATGTGACGTTGCTGCACTGATACATGACGTCATTGTCTAATATTTTCAAGTATCAAGTCCTGTCCAATGATAAAAATATTAGGCAGTAAGATCAAAGAGAAAATGTACAAATTGCTGATAAACATTCTTATTTGATATATATATACAACAAAAATGTCATCATATTTAAAATAAAGTCCATATGACCATATACAGTCTAACATATATCAGTCCTATTTATAAGAGGTCACCACAGTTGTAAGGTTGTTTTCTGTTGACTCCTTGCTAAATACTTATATGACTTTTGTGTCATGAAAAACAGTCTTTTCTATTTTTGTGTTGTTTATGTACTAAAAACACGTTTGTAGATCTTGTCTATGGAAAACAGAATTTATTTAAAAAAAAATGTAATCCAATATATGATAAGTTACCTCTGAATATCAGGAATTTCCGATCCATCACTGTGAACAAACTTCCCTCCTGCTCCCAGTACAAATCTTCTGTGCATGTCAAGTAGAGCATGACGACAGGTAGTGGGTGTGTCTTTAGGTTCTGTGTTAGCATTCTTTAGGGGAGAGAACTCATCCTCTCTCAGAACTTCCCATACAGCAAAATTCCTGTCTCATTTACACAAAATACCACAAACACAACCACATTCAGGATAAAAGGCATGCATATACACAATATCAACAAACAAATAAACATGTGCAAGGAAAAATTAGGTCATATAACCATAAGGATCAACAAATAAACATGTGCAAGGGAAAAATAGGTCATATAACCATCAGGATAAACAAATAAACATGTGCAAGGAAAAATTAGGTTGCATAAAAAAATGAAAAACAAATAAACATGCACCAAGAAAACCAGGGTTAAATAAATAATAAGAAAATTCCAACAACCCATACAAGGAAAAATAACATTCAAAAATTGTAAACATGCAGATGTTAAAAATTGAAGAAGGTAGAGGAATCCAGGAAAAAATGAAAATGTTAAAATGATGATAAAACATGGAATATGTAAATGATGCAGGTATACATAATCATGCATAAAACATCACATTCATACAAACACACACACACGAATTCGCAAATGAAAAAGAGAAAGAAGAAATATTTGATTTAGTTTTGTATTATGCAAATATTGAACATTTTCCCCCCCAAAAAAACCCAAATACATGTCTTGAATTGTTTTGAAATGAGGATCACTAATAATCAATAGACTTTAGAATCTGACTACTACTTAAGAAGAACCAAGTTTTTATTGGTAGAGTAAGACGGTGTACCAGGAGAGAACCACCAACCTTCAGTACTTGGTATATGTTTGACTGCTAGTATAGGCATTATCATTTATATACCTGATACCTATTTGAAATCCAATCAAGCTTTATCTATAGGCAGAAAGTTCTGTGAAAATATCTTGGTGTTAAAAGCTTACTGTGGATTCATTATTATTCGTTAGATAACAACTTTCAAGGATTTTGATAGTAGAGACATACTACAAATTTAAATGTTCTATGAAGAATGAATTTCTTATAGGCTTGTATGGAAACTTCGGCAAATCTATGAAATCAAGTGTTGACGAAAATACGATTTTCTTCAATCCATGAAAATTGGTACCCTTGAAAATAAATGAATCCACAGTAATATTAGCAGGTAAAACAAACAAAAAATTGGTCCAAAAACAAAGTTACCTATGATAAGATATACAGTTATCAGTTTTCCACCATTGTTGAAGGCCATCAGTGATCTATACAGCAGATAATTCCCCCTCCTTTTTATTTTTTTCTTAAAACTTGTAAATTAAATAAAATATCTTTGTCTTAAGTCTTATGTTACCCTTTTTAAAACCTTTTTGTTTTTGAAACTTTGTATGTATCTGGTTCATTTTACTTTGGTCCTGAGCATACCATATGAAAGTTATAACATACACTTGTATTACTTACAATAAAACTGATATTATACATGTATATTATATCATTAAATAATTTATTTGTTATCTATACCTGGCAAAGTGGAAAACATCGAACACAAATTTTTCCATCTTGATTCCATTGGGTGAAGTTGGTTTGATTGTCTCAAGATTTTCTCCAACATATGGAATCTTCTTTTTAGCAACATGATGTTTTAGCTGTTCCTCTTGTGCTTGGCTGAGGGAATAAAAAAAAAATAATAATCTTGTTCATATAAGCAAAATGATAAACTGTAAATTCAGAAATTTTTTATTGCAATTATTAAGCAATGGAAAAAAATGTGAGATAAATTATTGCAAATTCAGGAAATAGTGCATACAAAAAATGCTGTTAAAATTTAAAATTCGGCTATTATTCTTGAATTTACATTACTTACATTTCTGTGCACAGTAAAAAAAAACCCTTATGACTGCTTTAAAAACAATTATAAATGAAAAATATCTGTATTCATGTTTTATTCTTTTGATAGTTTTTGTGGTTGTTCTATGATTTGCTTTGGTTATCTATGCTCAAAATGATTTCCATCTATTGTTGATGAATGTGTGTTGCTCTTTAGATGTCTTTGGGTTATTCATGGTTATTTATGAAGTTGGGTTGCTGTCTCATTATCGTATACTTTTGTTCATACTGATCTACGAAACATGTGTTGTGTTCATTCAGAACATATTTTTCTATATCTATCATGTCTTCAATAACACTTTTAAAAAACAAATAATAAAAATAAGCAATGTTAAAATCTCCAACAATCTTATAAATATCATGATATAAATTTCCTGAAGATTTATATTAATTCTCATCTCATCCTATGACTCATCTAATGACTAAGCATGGAATTTTCCAATCTTAATTTCTATTTTTAAAATGGTACAACAAAACAAATGTAAAACTCTTAAAATGAAACTCACGCTGACACATGTTTTAGAAAATCTAACTGAAAGTAATGATTGCATATATTTCCCGCATTGAAAGTGAGACGGCCATCTTGGTTCCTCTTCTCCGCTGTTTTAAGTGTAATTTCACTATATTCCACAACTTGGTAGTTTCCTTCTACTTTACATACCACCCCTACAGCTTCTGTTGGTACAGTCTTCTCTACAGCCTGAAAGATAGACATCACCACAACTTATAAGTTAATTTGTGATAAACCTTGCAAAATACCTCGCAACATCTATTATTCTATGAATAGTAAGGGAGAAAAGAAAATAACAGCAACATAACAATTTTAATTTATCCCAAGAATTTTATTAGATTGGTGTTGCTTAATCTTCAAATGTACAATAAAGTGTTATGAGACCATTGTTTGTTTTTTTGTTGTTTTACTTTTGGCCATGGTGTTATATATAAAAATAAGAAGATGTAGTATGATTGCCAATGAGACAACTATCCACAAGAGACCAAACAAGTGAATCTGTGAGCTACTGCTCACTAAATATAATGATACCCCCGCCCCGCTAAAATTATAAGGTAAACAGGAAGTTGTTGAGTGATGAAAACGCATCACATGGTATAGCTGACTCATATAAACCCTGAAACCAAATTTCAGAAATCCTTGTAATGTAGTTCCTGAGAAAGATGCGACGGAAAATATTCATGGGACGGAACGGATGGACGGACAGACGGACGGATGGACAGACAGAGGTAAAACAGTATACCCCCACTTTTTTAAAGCGGGGTTATAATAACACAGAAATGAACAACTATAGGTCAACGTACGGCCTTTAACAATGAGCAAAGACCATACCGCATAGTCAGCCATAAAGGGCCCCGAAATGACTAATGTAAAACAATTCAAACAAGAAAACTATTGCCTAATTCATGTACAAAATAATGAACGAAAAACAAATATGTTACACAGCAACAGACCACAACCACTGAATTACAGGCTCCTGACTTGGGACAGGCACATACTGAATGTGGCGGGGTTTTGACACAATGTTGGAAAAAACTATTATGAATGCCTAGTAATGCATCAAATAACTAATTCAAATCCTTTCTTGTATCATAACAATATCAGATTTATATCTCAGAAGTTTCATATTGTTGAGTTTTGATACAGTTGAGGATTTCTATTGAGAAAGTTGTAGTTAGGGGTTATTCCCCTTATTGTTTGCAGGAATTTTCACAAAATCAAACAGTTTTTCAGAGGTCCATGAAAGTTTCAATTTATAAAGGACCTGAGGGGTGTATAAAGTGTATTATAACTAGATAGTGTTTTCACCTGATTTGCGGGTGCTCCTATTACAGGAGCCATATACAGAAAAATAAGAAGAATTATGCACAATTTTACGTTTAAAAAGAGATATAAAAAATGATTAAATGTAGGTTTGGGATTACTATGATGAATATTTATGCATTTTCAGATTAATATTGTTTAAAAACGTATCTACTCATGCACTTGTCATAGATTGTTAATCTTTTGCCTATGGTGATTTTAAGACTTTCTTGGCTATTTACTTTGAAGTTTAACACCACTGTATGCTTTTATTAAAGAAATAATTAGAAGATAAGCGACTTTGACATCAATGGAGTGACAAACTATTGTTTGGAAGTTGTTGAACAATCTAGAAATAAGAATCAAATTGAAAAGTCAGGAAAAATTTTGAAAATAAAAAATAAAAAATTTCATGGAACTTGAATACGGGTGTAAAAAGTCAGATACTGAAATCCCGGGTTATTTGATGACCCATAACAAATCTCAGGTGAGTTGGTAAGTTCACAGGTCATTCCTGCAAAATACAGGTCAATTGACAGCTGGTATGTCTATAATCAACCTTTTTAAAATTTTCGAACTAAAAATAGATTCCACTAAGAATTTAATTACTGTTTCAAATTGTATTAAGTATACCTTAGCTCCGCATCTAGCCCCTTTTGCTATACAAAATCCTATAAACACAGGATCAGCCATCTTGACAAGAATGTTATCAACACAGTAGACATGTACGTGTTTGATTCCTCTTGATTCCATATTTTCCACAATGCCATGATGTACCAAGCCCTTGTACAGACCACCATTTCCATCTACAAAGTAAACCACCAGTATGTATTATGTGAAGTTTCTTTGTGCTTCTGTTATATTTTATGGTATCATAAATATACAACTTTCTGTTATCCCCCCCACCAAATTATACTTTGTTAAACATTTTTTTGTTTATATTGATCAACAAAAACAAAAGATGTGAAAGCCACAAACCTGGAGCAAGAGCCACTTTGTATGGTCTTTCCAGAATAATCTTTCCTTCAAAGTCCATACAAGGGAGACGACCCTGTTCAAACAGGATCACATTCTCTTTCTGTAGACCAAAATAATTATGCTTCTGGAAAAAGTCTTCTGTAGCCTGCTTTGTGTGTTCACTTGTCATTATATACCTGTAAAAATGTACATTTACAAAATGATAAAGACTTAGAGACTAACAATTCCTATAACTAATTAAAACTGCTATATTAAGCACAGCAAATATGGAAATCATTTTGACAAGTCTGGGCTTTTTTTTAGCTGACTTTACTGTATTGGTTTTGCTCATTGTTGAAGGTCACTGAGTGATTAATAGTTGCTTACATCCATATCTTTTAAACTCTGGTGATTGTTGCCTCAATGGCAATCATCCTTATTTTTATATTTTCCATGTGATTATAAATAACTGCAATTAAAATAAAACTGCATCTTATGCTTGAATAGTCTGCACCAAACCCTTTGTGATTTAATCAAAGCCTATGCATTGACATTATGTACTAATCTGTCTCTTGTCATTAAAACTGCACAGTCAGACAATCTCTTTCATGTGTATTTTTTCAGTACAGGACAAACTTGTAAATTTCTCTATGAAACTGATTGCTATGAGGGGATACTTGTTGTTCTTGCAACAGCAACATTTGAAGAAAACTGAATGTGTAGGGACAACATGAAAGTTCCACTACCCCTTGTGCCAAATGTAGGGATGGCATAATGCTATAACTTTTCTGGTGAAATCCAAATAAAGCTGATATGAATAAATTAATCAAGGAATACAATAGGTCACCACATCAATCAAAATTAATGCAGATGTAAATAGAAATATTTAGAGCTTGAAATGTTATACAGATGGTATTGATGGTTCAAAACTTTTTGTGAAGATCTAAATTTTATCTAGTTTTTGTTGTTTTGTATTTTTCTATCTTGTCATCATTTATACCCAGTATTACTTTATTCATACAAAAAGTTCAGTCCTTTCAAAATGATTATTTTTACACTGTTTTTCTTTATCTTACTTTTAGAATTTTCAGAACAGATTAAAGAACCTTAGTGAGCATGCTCACATACCCCACGTCCCCACATTGTCATTGGAGAAATAAAATAAGTGTAAGAAAAAAAAATTGTATCAGAAAAAAAAATTGAATCATAATTTCCTGTCAATATGCACATCTACATAGTATGTCCTTATTATCTACACAGTTTCATGAAATTCTGTTGTGTGGTTTGAGAGGAGTTGCGATGACAAAAGGTTGCAGTAGTATATTGGGCAAATAAGTTCAAAGGGGCGTAACTCCTGGAAAAAAAATTGAATCGTAATTTCCTGTCAATATGCACATCATTGTAGTATGTCCTTATTATCTGAAAAGGTTTCATGGAATTCTGTTGTGTGGTTTGAGAGGAGTTGCGATGACAAACTGTTGCAGTAGTACATTAAAGTAAATAAGTTCAAAGGGGCGTAACTCCTAGAAAAAAAAAAGAATCGTAATTTCCTGTCGATATGCACAACTACATAGTATGTCCTTATTATCTAAAAAGGTTTCGTGAAATTCTGTTGTGTGGTTTGAGAGAAGTTGCGATGACAAGAAATAGGACTGACGGACTGACGGACTGACAGACTGACAGACTGACGGACTGATGGACGGACAGACGGACAGATGGACGGACGGACGGGTCAAAAACATTATACCCTCCGCAACTCGTTGCGTGGGGTATAATTAGTATTGGTCCATATAACAATTTACCATGGCACAACACATGAGTTCCCTGTCTGTTTTTGAGCCATTCTCTGTAACTTTAATATCCTCTCTGCCTGCAGATTATATAAAGTTTTTCCTGATGGCAAATCAACATTGTACATTCCTTTAGGATAAGGTACCCCTAGTCTGGTTCCTTGTCCTCCTGCCAGCAAGAGGACAGCTACTCTATTATGTCCAACTTCTTCCAGTCCTAAAATGAAATGTATATATTCTTATGTATTTGCATAATTGTGAATATCAATTTGAATTAAAGGATTGATTGCTGGTTGGTTGCTTAACATCCAGTGGCAAAAATTTCATGCATATTCAGGGTGAGAAAGAATAAACAATAAATATAATACATACGTCCTGTAATTTAGGCTGTCCAGGATGAAGGTCGAGGACATTCTGACTACCACTGGAAAATGAGGGTATAATGGATAAGAACAGAAATTATGCCATGCAACAGGTCACCTACGGACCCTCAATGAATTGTTGCAAGGGTTCTTAATGTGCAGAGAGCGTGGCATTCTCTCTACACAAGGCATCAGATTTAATGTCACCATTCTGATCGGACATGGCTGTGTACGTGTACCTTTGGCATAGACAAATGGATGCCCCACTTTCGCAAGGGTTTAACTGACAGTTGGAAGAAGACCTTAGTGACCATATTTCCATTCCCCATTTACCCTTGGGGGCTGAATAAAAGAAGATGTGGGTTATACATCATTAAGACAGCATTCTAACAACACAAAAAAAGCATCATAAAATAGTCTAAATGGTCTAGGTCAACTTTGTTGAAGGGAGTATCAACCTTAATTTTATTGTTACTACAAATCAGTATTATATGTTTTCTTACTACTCCCTCTTGTTTTTATTTTTACTGTAAATGAAAACAATTAATATAGACAGTAAAAACCAGTATTGTCTGGAAAAACAAATCTGAAACTTGGAGCTAAAAACTCCTGACAGATGAACATTAACAATTGAATATCTTAATATGTAAAGGGACAAAAAGGTATGAAAATGCTATACATAATCAAATTGTAATGACGCAGAAGTTCAATGAATACATGTAAGTATTCACCCACGCATAAAACATTTAAAGACTCAAATAATTTATTCAAGGTAAATGCTTGTGTGAAAGGGTCCTCAGTAGACTACGATAAGAAATATGACCCATATGAAAAATCATACAATAGGTTTTACACACGATTTGATTAAAAAACTGCTATCTTGTGCAAATTTATAAGATCAATGTAAACAATTTATAAATCGTTGTATCTGTTTGTCTATATGATTTACCGTGATATCATATCTATTTATCTGGTATACAAACAAACAAAAGTAAGTCTTGTCTCTCTGTTCAAATATTGACAAACAATAAAAGGACAACAAGATGTTACCTGCAATTTGTTTACCTTGGATTGGTTAAAAATTCATATTGTGGTCATCACATCTTACTTATGAAGTCTCAAAATTTATTCTATAAGTTGTAGTTTTTATTTTATGAAATATACTCAAAATGTTCTATAAAAAAAGGCAACAGTAGTATACCGCTGTTCGAAATTCATAAATTGATTGAGAAAAAAAAACAAATCCGGGTAACAAACTAAAACTGAGGGAAACACATCAAATATAAGAGGAGAACTATGACACAACAGAAACACAACATTAAAATGTAACACACAGAGAAACGAACTATAATATAACAATGGCCATTTTCCTGACTTGGTCAGTGTGTTGGTACAGGACATTTTAAGAAAAAAAGTTTGTTTGGGTATTTGTTTTCATATCGTATTAATTTATAAAATTATGTAGACTTGGACATGTTGGAGCAAGTTGTAAAAATTAAGGATATTATCTAACTTATTACTTATTAATAAGGAATTTGTCTCTCTCGTGCACAGTGATGATAGCTCTGTTTTTTGTACAAGTTGCCTATACTTCATGTACTTTGATCATTTTTGGTTATTTAATGCACTAGGTTTTGGACTTTCAAATGTTTTGGTCTCAAACAAGATTGAAAAGACACTTTTTTTTTTTCAAATGAGCGTCTTGTGTAGTAAACATTGTACCAGTATTGTTATAAAAGGTTGGCTTTCCTACTCCCTAATGAGGGCTGTGACCATAAAATGCTCAACTTTCATCTTTACATTTGTGGTTGGCATGCAGTCTTCACAACAAACTTTTTGAGTCCACAGGCCCGAAGCTAAATTTTACTTTAATTTTAGTTGGATTCTATTGGCCTGTCCTGGGTAGACCTGATTTTCACAGGCCAGACAGTGATTTTACAAGCCTGGGCTGGTGGGCCTGTGGTTAAGCGTGAAGACTGGGCATGGTTGGTAAATATCACACTGACCTACTTGCAATTACCTTTTCTTATTTCAAATTGTATTTAATATATATCTTGTCTTTTATGTCTTTTATACATGAACTTTTCAGCTTATTGAAGACTGCAGAGAAACTTTTCAAAATGAAAAACAGCAATAAAAATACACTGTCCTATATCTAGTTATTTCCTAATGTTTTTATAGTATTGTTGTTCCATAAATAATTTTGCAAAAAAAAAAAAAAAAAAAAAAAATATTTTTCTTGAACAAGACATGTTTATATAAAATTATATATATAATATGCAAATAAAAAAAATAATTTAATATCCTAAGTAAAGGAATTTTTTTTTTGTGACGGTCCCATATATTTACTAAACAGTGATTCACAACAAAGTGTGGCAATGGGAAATCCAGAAATCCAGTATGACGTATATACATATTCAAGTATGTACAATCAACTCTAAACAGCTTTCTCCAACTTCCTACAACCAAACATCAGAGGACTTACACCCAGCGAAGGAAAAATGTAGACATCATTTAAGTTGGTTTTATACTTAATTAACCTATGTTTGAAACAATGTCGTGATCTAAGCTAAGGAAATGTGATAAAAATCACATTTTAATCCCTACTTTTATTTTAGGGATGGCGATACATTTCATTCACTTGTAGCAGTAGAAAGGTTACCATAAAGATATGATTTTAACATGGATTATCTAAAGACCACAAAGATTTTTAAATTGTACAATGACTATAGGTCTATGACCTTTTTCAAATGCAAACTATCATTTAATACCTGGTTTTTCAATCTTGTCAGAAGAAATTCAATAATTTTGTTCTGTTTCAAAATTATGACAGATTTAAAATTCTTAGAATAACTGTTCACAGAAAATTTTGAAATCTATACCTATATTATAATCTATTTCTTATTTACCTACTGCAAATTTAGAAATTAATGGGTGCATTTATCATTGTGATTCATTTTTTCTCTGGTAAAAATATAAATCTAAATAATGGAATAGCAAAACAATTATGATGGAAAAGCCCAACTGAAATTATCGAATGCAAGTTTTTATTTTTGCAAACTTGAAACTGTTGCATTTTTCGCATTAATAAAACTTCTATCCATATCAAATCAAGGATAAGTGCAATTGAACACCGACATAAAGACTTAATCCATTTTGATAAAAAATATATTCTATAAAGCTGCATTCAAAAATCATGTATAATGAAAAAAATAGAAAGGCCAAATACACTCCTATATAAAAAGTGACCCAAACAATATAAACAACAATGGAAAAACAACTGTGTCATCCCTTTTTTAGAGGGGAGAGGGGGTGGGGTACAAACAGGTCAGATCTATTTAGATACAAATTATATTTACAAAAACTGTATTCATTTGACTTGTATTTCATAAAAAAAATCAACAATTTTTTATGATTTCTTCTGAATATTCCACATAGTATTGTACATATAGGAATTTTATCACCTTGAATCACCAGCAAACAGTAGAGTGTTCCACTCGACATCACATGGCTTTAAACTTACATCAAGTGTACTGAAATTTTCTACATAGAAAAGCTAATGCATTTATGACCAGTCTAGTCATAAATGTATGAGCTTTTTTATGTAGAAAATTTCAGTACATTAAAGTTCATGTCTAGTTAATGTATAAATCTATAAATTGTGCAATTACCAGATATAAAACATTCCTGACCAAACCTAATTATAACCATAAGTCAGGGGTACAACTTAATGGTTGATTTTAAGATCACCCTTATTTACGTAATTATTAATAAATTAAGGCATTTTAAAATTAAAAATGTTAACAAAATTTGACAAAGAATTATTAAAATCACTTTAATAAGTAAATTTAAACAATATAGTAAATGATATTTTCTGGATATTGTTCCCACATGGTTTATATCTCTTTTTGGGATTAAAAAAAACGGAATTCCATTCAAAATACAATTATATATATATATATATATATACATTGTGTACATGCAGAAATGTTGTTTTGCTTAATAAACCTGTCAGTTTTTAGAGTTATTTATTCCAACTAAATATCATTGAGATGGGAGCCATCTCTGTGGGCCCCTCTGTGAATAATGTGTGGTAAAAAATTTGAAACCAAAGTTTTTTACCTTGACCTTTGACCTAGGAAGTTGTACATAAATTATGACACACTCTCTGGTGTTGGTTTATATACATGTCAAGAATAAACTTTGAAATCATAACAGTTCTCAAGATATAGAGCGGACATGATCTTTACCATAGGACATGGGGTTGTCAACTAAAACCAAAGTTTTTGACCTTGACCTTTGACCTAGATAGTTGAACATACATTATGACACACCCTCTGGTGTTGGTTAATATATATACATGTCAAGTATAAACTTTGAAATCATAACGGTTCTCTAGATATAGAGCGGACACAATTTGTTACGGACGGACGGACAGGCAGACAGACAGACTGATCACTATAGGGCGTCCGCCATTAGACGGGGCCCTAATAAAGCATAGACTGAAATAATTTTTAAATCAGAACAAGATTTTAAAGTTTATCATTCTAAAAATAAAGAAGTCAAATCAGGTAACTTTAAATTGTTGACCTCTGTCTTCATGATAGAGTAGTTTTAATGCATATTGAATTACAGGAAACTTCTCAAAGCTATTTTCTAAAGCTTTAATTGCCTTGCCAAATACTGAAACTAATATATAACAGAAAGGAATTACTGAAATATATGCAAGCAAATAACAATGAATAACAGTAAAGTTTGGTGGAAATTCATGAAATCTATATAAGAAAATAAATAGGTAATTACTGAAATTTCAAATCACTTAAATAAGTGATAATAAAATCCATTTTTGAAGTAGTGCCCCTGACTGACCATAATCTGAGTGTTATGTTTCACTAAGAGTTTGGTATTTTTTTTTATACTTCTATATTGTAGCTTGCATATATACATGTATATAGAAAATGTTTGGGGTCTTTTATTTCAAATACTTCTAAAATATATATATCAAATTTATCTCAGCTTTCCCATGGCCATCTCTCATTCACCACTTCCACTGAGAGCATGCAAGACTACATGTACACATGTAAAAAAGTTTATCTTATTAAATGTAATAAATAGATTATCTGTCAGGAAGTATATTGATCAACAAATATTGAACAATACTAAATATACTACCAGGTCCTATATTGGCTGATTATTCAAGTACTTATATCGATAAAACCTGATTAAGTTAAAAACTTAAACTACCTGGTTGAAATTGACATTATGTAATTAATATCATGATTGTTTACTATGTCCTTCATTTGTTTACTTTTATAGATATGTAAAGTAGATATGTTATCTCGGTTATTTTTGAATTAAAAATGTAGGTTAATTTAAACGGAGGACCTAATGTACATGTTCTACACATTTTAATTTTAATTTTAGAGATTTATTTCACGAAGATTTCTAAGAATCTAACAATGCATGTTTGATAAAGGTTTTATCTTTTAAACATTTCTTAGAATCTGACATTGTATACATTGAGGTCAGGAAAACCCACAAATGTGACAAAGCAAATATGAATTGAAGTTGACTTAAGAGAATAATGTTTAATTATTGTCCCTTTTTCATGTTTATGGATCCTTGCTAATTTTTAACTTTAATTAAAGCAACAAAATTCTACCGATATCTTCATAATCTTTTTATTACATGTAGCTTTTAATTAATTAGGGGCATAAGGATAAGTTTTTTTTGGCACTTGATTTGATTTTTGATTTTTGGAGTTTTAACGCCACTTTTAAGCGCCGCTTTTGGGCTATTTCATGGCGGCCAGTTTTTATTGGTGGAGGAAGCCGGATAGCCCGGAGAAAACCACGACCTTTGATAGGAAAACTGACAATCCTAGTCAATTAAGATTGGAGTCGAGTGCACCCGCACGAGCGGGGTTCAAACTCACAACCTCAGTGTTGACTGGCTAGTGATTACAGTAGTAACTACTTTGACCACTCGGCCACCGAGGCCCCTTCGGGACTTGAAGATTGTGCCTTTATTTTAGCGGGAATTTGGGATTTTCACTTATCAGGAATTAATGATTAATTTTTCAGTATCCTAAATAAAAATTCAATATTCAGTGTTTATTTTTTTCCAGGAAATTGGAATGATACCCCCCTCCCCCCCTCTTAATAAAATAAAGTTGATATAGTTTTACCTGTTGTGTGATAACTACTTAGAGTATCTTTGTCAGTTGATGTAATTCTCCCACATACTTCGGCAGGCAAAGGTTCCAAAGAATCGTCAATTTTCTGCGATGCAGAATTCAGTGTTTCCATTGCAGCCTTAAAGTACTTGTTTATTTCACTATAATTAAGTTTAACTAAGTCATTATGCAACTGTTGTTTTTCTTCCTCTGTAAGGCGATCCCAATATTTCAGTAAATGTTCTTGTCCATTCTCTGACAGAGTTGTCTTTAATCCATTAATATCCATTTTGAGTGTCAGGCTGAGGTCTGTATATTACTCTGTTTTTTTTTCTTAAAAAATAATAATAATGCTCATCATGTGACATGATACAAATATACATTATTTTTTAAACATGTGCCATCACATGGTGGTCATTATAACCCACTTCAAAATAAAAGTGTTTATAATATATATATTAAGTCGAAAGGGCAGACAATACAATATATTTGTATAATATGTGTATCTAATTATCACGTGTGTGAGTTAGGATAGACCTTGCAAGACCATCATGTGAAGACAAGGTGGCTAAACACCCCCTTAATTAGTAGCAGGATAGAAGCTTCAGTTATGAGTTTTTCTGTCTTGAGAAAACTTATGATCTAAACATTTTTCTAGTCAATGAAAAGATTGTTTCTTTAAACCATCAGAGAACAAAATTTAATGAAATGTTGAGTCTATTACAATATAAAATATGTACATATACTTTCAACTGCCGAAGCACCATAGGCAAACTAGAAATTCATTTATTTGTACCTGACTTAGAATGACAGAAACACATTAAGTGCTAGTGGCTACATGTAACACAGAACAGTAGGATTTCTTAAGCAATTAAACAATTAATGTGCAATAGTTTGCGTGAGTTTGTTCAATCACTCCCTGCTAGCAGATTTATCTTAAATATACAGCCAATTTTACATACATTTTAAAAGGTATAAGATTTTTAAAGAGACAAGTACAGATTAAGGTTATATTTTTAACAGTTTAAATATTAATATTATGATGCAAATTAACTATCTTGTGATTTAATGGTCTTGATGACTTGAGTTACTGCACATGATCAACTGAAGTATTTTCATGTATCTGTCTACTATGAGTCTATAAAAAATATTTATAATACATGTTTAATATTTTTAATTGACCAATTAAAGTAAACTAAGTACCATTAAACCGAAAATACGCTTTTGAACAGGTTTTTAAAAAATACATGCAGAATAAAACTTCAGTAACTACAGAAAATAAATACAAGTTGGAAAAAAATAAAAATCAGAACTAAAAGAAAAGACTCACCTGTTGTTTGAACGTTCCTCAGGTGCAGACGACGAAAGATAATATGTGTGTCCCGGAAGTAAAACGTGTCGAGTGACACCGGCTTTGTATTATTTGTTTATGCGTTCCAGTTAATTAACGGGTTTTCGTACCTATTCACACATTCTACGAATCAGGTAGTCTGTTTTAGATTTTCAAAACCCCACAGAATGTTTTAATATTTTGACTGGAAACATGCAGATTTCTGAGGACAATTTTTAGAATGAAGTTATAAAACCTAAACACGTTTCCCAACACAGAACTGTCAGAATTCCGGAAAAAAAAAAATCACTATTGGTCCAAGATCCCCTAAATTTGTCAAAGTTACGTAGAAAAAAACTTTACAGCCAGAGGTTTAACAACTTGCTGCATGATCCAGTGACAGACCAAGGATTGTGAATGGGAGACACATTTAATAATAAAGTAGAGGGTCAGGATGGGGTTCTTCATTTCTGTATTCTTATTTTTTTTAGGCAATTTTTCTCTATTCTATATACATTTTGCCTAATATTCTCTATTCTTTACATTTTAACACCCCGTTATTCTCTAGTCTTTATTTTATAGCCTATTTTTCTCCATTCTTTATATTTTTTGTCCTTTATTCTGCATTTTTTGTTCATAATTCTCTTTTCTGCATGTAAATGTATAACAGTAAATTTGGTCCGGTAGTAAAATTTGTCCTCCAGACTTTTTTTCCTAGTTAATCAAGTCCATGACCATTATTTTACTAGGAATTTAAGTCCCAGGACAAATTTTCCTAGGAAAATAAGTCCATAGCTAGTAAAATATGTCTGGCACTTATTTTCCTAGGAAAAATTGTCCTAAGACTTGTTTTTCTAGTAATTTTTATTATATTTTAAAAATTATTGAAAATAAAAAAAAACATTTTCTTAGTTAAGATTGAAAAGTTTCATTAATTTTTCCTATTAAAATAAAAGGACATTGCCGGACGTTATAACCTAGGCATGTTAATGACATGGACATGATGTCCTAGGAAAATTATTCTGGGGGACATAAATTTTATAAAAATATTAATACACAGCTCTAAAACAATATTAAAACATAACATTTAAATTTAACTTTCAAAATAAAGGGAATGGACGTTTTTACCTAGGAATATTAATGACATGGACATGATTTCCGAGGAAAATTAGTCTGGTGACATGAATTTTATTAAAATATTAATGCACAACTCTTAAACAATATTAAAATATAAAAATTGAATTTCCATTGTTAACATGTAAATAATTTGTTTCATTAAAATTTTCCTTTTAAAATAAATGGCATGGACGTTTTTACCTAGGAATATTAATGACATTGACATGATTTCCTAGGAAAATTAGTCTGGAGACAAACATTATATTAAAAAAATTGATACACAACTCTTAAACAATATTAAAACATAACATTTATATTTACCTTTTAAAATAAAGGGCATGGACGTTTTTACCTAGGAATAACAATGACATGGACATGATTTCCTAGGAAATTTAGTCTGGGGACATGAATTTTATTAAAAATATAAATGCACAACTCTTAAACAATATTAAAACTTAATATTTAAATTTCCAATATTGTTTAAATGTAAATGATTTGATTCATTAATATTTTTCCTATAAAAAAAAAGAACATGGACGTTTTTACCTAGGAATATTAATGACATGGACTTGAATTCCTAGGGAAATTAGTCTGGGGACATAAATTACTAACATCGGTCTAAAAATACTAGTAAATTCTGTAACCATGGACTTTTTATACTAGTAATATGTGTCCGCCCGGACATATTTTACCAGGACAAATTTATCTCTTACATATACCCCATCCATACCCTCATAGTAATTTGTTATATCTTCACTAACATGACGAAATGCCAATTAGCGTGGGACCTAAAATGTATCTTTGGTCCAGTGTATAGTGAGCAGGGCTGAGGCTATTAATAGCCATCACATGGTGTCACATTGTTACATTCTTCATTGACACAACTAAAATAAATGAAATAAAACTCCTCTGACCGTGCAAAAGGTTTTTTTCCCTAGTTTTTAATTTTATGTCGCTGGACCCGTCAAATAGAAACATAGCTCGGCTTTCTGGCATTCTGTTTATAATATTGGCCGAAACTTCTCAATCAAGTTTCTATCAAGATCATTGACCAATTTCCGAGTTTATAGAAATTATTCTATCTTTTATTGCATGGCCTTTCAAATTAGTTTTAACATCAATTCTGACCTGGACCTGGGAACAGTATATATATATGTCAATATATATGTACCTGCCTGGACTCGAATGATTGTAAATAAAATAAATCTCTTGTTCTTCGACAATATCATTAGATAGACACACTAAACGTCATAGATACGAACTAGGAAGTTGTATAGGCTCGATCGACATGGTAAACATCTTAAGCTATATTGCAAGGAGTTTCAAAACTTTTTTTTTGTATTTTAAAGTCCATTTCAATTGCCAAGGCACCATTATAAAAATAAGGAGATGTGGTATGATTGCTAATGAGACAACTTAATTTCCACCAAAGTTCAAATGAAGTAGATGTAAGCAATTACAGGCAACGGCGTACGTCCTTCAACAATGCGGAGAAAAACCCATACCGCAAAGTCGGCTATACAAGGCCCCGACATGAAAAATATGAAACAATTCAACTGAGAAAACTAACGGCCAAATTTATAACAAAACAATTTACGAAAAACAAATATGACAGACATGAACCAACGACAACCACTAAACTACAGGCTCCTGACTTGGGACAGGCACATATAGAATGTGGCGGGGTTAAACTAGTTTGCTGGCGCCAAACCCTCCCCTAACCTGCATGGGAGAGTGGTGTAACAATACAACATAAGAACAAACTATAAACATCAGTTGAAAATGAGATCGATACAAAACAGAATTGTATTTTGTGTTGCTTGATACCTTTTTTAATAATGGAATCACTAGTCAGCGACACAGTCCGCCGTCTTGTACTAAGGTCCGTTTCAGCATTGTATTACTTTTTCTTTAAGCCACGGTTAATTTCCCGGTAAAACTGCTGCTTCTTTTGACAAGAGAAGATTACTCAAGTGATGCAAATGCTCTTTCAACTGTTTTTTTATGTGATCACTTAGTCAACATATATTGGCAAACATGTGCCGATCCAGAATTAAAAAAGGGGGAGGGCTGACAGGCCAACGTTTAGAGTGATACTTGTAAAAAGTCTATGCATTTATCATATATGTTGCTCCATAAAGGGGCCCGCTCCCCTAAATCCGCATCTGGCAAATTGTTGTGACAATGATAGGATAAAAACAGCAACAATTTAAGTACATGAAATGTGGCCTGGCAGATCGAAGGGGTTATTAAAGTGGTCACTGAAAAACAAGAACATATTTAGAAGGTTGAGAAATTTTGCCCGTTACAAAATTTAGTACCGATCTGATCCAATCGTTTCTCGCCGTTCCTTTACGTTACGTCGTATATTGCGATATTCGCTTACAAATGTAACACTTGTCTTTCATTTAACGGACGTCCAATCTTTGTTCTGGACGTTACAATTTTTAAAAGACTTAAAAAAAGTAGTGTGAAATGTGTTTCATCCGACGGTAATTTACCCAATGCACAGGTGTGTCTTTATTGATTTGACGTCCATTTTAGGAATATAATGGTGAAATTGCACTTTGAAGTTCATTAACGAATTTCCAACTCAAAAGAAGAGAAACAAGTGTATTTCATTATCAAATATATCAGTATTAATAGGTCGATACTCCCTTAGGTGGCTATGGACATTACAGAGGGTCTGGATAGGGGTTTACAGAATACAGAATTATGATGGCAAAATGTGCAGAATAAAATTAATGATGGCTACAAATATAAAGAATAGAAACAAATAGGCCAAACAATAAACAATAAACAATAATGAGCAGTCTAATTACTATATAGAACTCTGATTTCGTTATACTTCATATGGAGTATAACGAAATCATAACCATTTTCAGAAAACGACATCTGTAACAAACATAAACTTTTAGCTACCGCTTTACAAGCAGAACCAAATACAATGAAAGTCCCAACTATGTATTGGCTTCCGAAGCTACACAAAACACCTTACAAATATAGATTCATTTCGTCTTCAAGCCATTGTTCCACTACTAAATTGTCTATTCTTCTTACCAGTACACTTGGTACAATCAAAAACCTGATAATAAATTGTTCAAATAAGGCCTTCGAAAATAGTGGAATTAATTACTTTTGGATTGTCAAAAACTCGTTGGAAGTACTTGATAAATTGCATGCATATATTGGTGATTTTGAATCTGTTCAAAGTTTTGATTTTTCTACCCTATATACCACATTGCCTCACATTCTCATTAAGAAAAAATTCACACACCTAATTAAATGGGCATTTAAAAAGTCAGAATGTGAATATATATGTTCAAACTCTTTTAGGTCAATTTTTAGTAGCAATAAACAAAAAAACTATGTCAATTGGACATGCTTTGATACTATATATGCCCTTGAATTTTTACTAGATAACATTTTTGTTCGCTTTGGAGATTCCGTATATCGTCAGGTTATCGGAATTCCAATGGGGACTAACTGTGCACCACTTATTGCGGACCTTTTTTTGTATTGCTATGAGTTACAATTTATGACAAAAATCAGCAAAGACCCATCGAAACAACATCTGATACACAAATTTAATAATACTTTTAGATATTTGGATGATATTTTGGCTCTCAATAATGACGACATCAGTATGTATACTAAAGAAATTTATCCTGTTGAACTTACTTTAAATGAAGCTAATACTAACAATGACCACTGCCCTTTCCTCGATCTTGATATCTATATCATTAACGGAAAGCTTAATACTAAAATATATGATGAAAGAGATGATTTTTCATTTCCTATCGTTAATTATCCATTTTTAGATGATGACGTTCCCTTGTCACCATCTTACGGTGTTTATATATCTCAACTTGTACGATTCGCTCGTGTATGTAACAATGTTTTAGATTTTAACGAGAGAAATTTATGTATTACTGAAAAATTATTACACCAGGGTTTTCGATATCACAAACTAGTCAAAACATTTACTAAATTTTATCATCGGTATAAGGACATCATTCGTAAATATAGCTCAACATGCAGACTTCTTATACGTTCAGGTATTTCACATCCAATTTTTTATGGAAATATTCTTTATAAAGCACAAAAATGTCAGTATTCACCTCTGAAGCTAACAAAACCTTTAAATAG